TTTTTTTTTTTAAGTGGATTCCCTCAATTCCAAGATCTATCCCTTGGAGATGTTACATTTTATTGTAAACCTTTAGATTATATCTAGAGGAGAAAGAATAAATGAGAGGCAGAGTATGAGAGCAATATTAGTTCATACTGGCTGGGGAAAATCCTGCATCGGTGAAAACATTCTGAGCGGCCAGGTATGTTGGCCCATGCCTATAATCCCAGCACTTTAGGAGGGTGAGGCGGGCAGATCACTTGAGGTCAGGTGTTAGAGACTAGCCTGGGCTACATGCTTAAACCTCATCTCTATTAAAAATACAAAAAATTAGCTTGGCCTGGGGGCAGGCGCCTGTGTCCCAGCTACTCAGGAGGCTGAAGTGAGAGGATCCTTTGAGCCCAGGACTTTGAAGCTCCAGTGAGTTATGATCACACCACTGCACTGCAGCCTGGGCAACACAGCAAGACTCTGTCTCAAAAACAAAAAAAAAATTTTGAGCCAAGTAGATTTGGGATAGAAGTACCTTGAAAGTGCATAGGTTTCTGGATTAGGTAATTTATAAATATATAACAGATTGGACACAATGAAAACATTAAATTAGAGAGCTCTTCATACTAATGTTACAACTGGCTCTTCCCCTTAATAGATAGGCAGCATTGTTCAACTTTGATTTTAATAATTGGGAGCGAGGTTAGTGTGCTGGAGACGGTAAACATTGCCACTTCATTGGTGTGTCTCTTAATTTTTGTTTTCTTTTTTTTTTTTTTTTTTTTTGTTTTTGTTTTTGGGACAGGAGGTCGCACTCTGTGCCCAGGTCGGAGTTGCAGTTGTGCGATCTCAGCTCATGCGGGCAAGGCCTCCCGGCCCGCAGGTTTCAAACGATTCTCCTGCCTCAGCCTCCCAAGTAGCCAGGATTACAGGCACCTGCCACTGTGCCCGGCTAATTTTTGCATTTTCAGTAGAGACAAGGTTTCACCATCTTGGCCAGGCTGGTCTTAAACTCCTGACCTCGTGATCCACCCACCTCGGTCTCTCGAAGTGCTGAGATTACAGGTGTAAGCCGCCATGCCTGACCTTTAAATTTATTTTATTTATTGTTTATTATTTTTTTGAGACAGAGTCTGGCTCTGTTGCTGAGGCTGGAGTGCAGTGGCACAATCTCAGCTCACTGTAATCTCTGCCTCCCAGGTTCCAGTGATTCTCATGCCTCAGCTTCCCAAGTAGCTGGAATTACAGGCATGTGCTACCATGCCTGGCTAATTTTTGTATTTTAGTGGAGATGGGATTTCGCTATGTTGGCCAGGCTGGTCTCGAACGCCTGGCCTCAAGTGATCCGCCTGCCTTGGCTTTCCAAAGTGTTGGGATTGCAGGCGTGAGTCACAGCGCCCAGCCTGTTTCTTATTTTATTTTGTTTTTATTTTTATCAATGTTGTTTTTTTTTTTGAGATGGAGTCTCCTCTGTCACCCAGGCTGGAGTGGCACAATCTCAGCTCACTGTAACATCTGCCTCCTGGGATCAAGCAATTCTCTTGCCTCAGCCTTTCAAGTAGCTGGGGTTATGGACATGTGCCACCATGCTTGGCTAATTTTTGTATTTTTGGTAGAGACAGGGTTTCGCCTTATTGGCCAGGCTGGTCTCGAACTCTCGACTTCAGGTGATTGGCCCGCCTTGCAATGGCTCACACCTGTAATCCCAGCACTTTGGGAGACTGTTTCTTATTTTATTAGTCAAGTGCAGACACTAAATAACTTAGGTTATGTCACGGATATCATGTTTTTCATGCTCTGTTAGTTCTACTCCCTCTAATTAGAAACTATTCCCCTTTGGTGCAGTAGAATTAGAGCAGGGAGCCGAGCACAAGCTGAACTATACTACACATGTCAATAGCAACTGCTGTAGTTCTGGGTGAAACACATCTTCTAATTATGCTTTTGATACCCAGTAGAATTGAATGATGCAAAGGATTAGTTTGGAACTGAAGAGTTACAGGAGTTGATTCAGAAGAAATGAGTGCTTGTGTGTGTGGTGACTGAGCTGTAAGAGGACCTAGCATCCCACTTGTAACTCTTCAGTTTGAAACTAATCTTAGTCTCAGGGGTTCTACAGCAGGAATTAGTAGGCATGAATCTATTGTGTTGACGCTTCCATCACTTAAGTCTTCATTGTAGCTTCCGGTAAAACAGGAATAATAATGGACCCTAAAAATCAAAGCAGCTGTTTTGATGTGAGTTAATCTGGTGATATTAAAACAGATTCCTGTGTATGGCTAGATGTTGGTACTAATGAGGTCAAAGTGTGGTCTCCAGATTTTCTCCAATGGTAGACCAGTTGTCTCCATGCTGAAAGCAACTGGTTCTATAGCTTTGAGCTGTCCTGCAATTATAAGCCACTATTGCCAGTGACATCAAGTGAATGTCTGTCAATACCTCTCACCTTTAAGATTTTTAGTTGAGCTAAGTTAGTGCCCAACTGGCTGTGAGACTCTTCCAGATAGAAGGCTGAAACCTCATGATCTGAATAAGGTTCCTGTATTCCCACAACCCAGAAGGCCTCTCCTCTAATTCCCTCTCCCTCTTCTCACTAGAGGCACTCTCCATTCCCGATTGTTCCAAGGCTCAAGTGCTCAGAAATGACTGGGAAGAAGGGAGAAAAACTCAGGTGGCAAAGGACATGGACAAAAACCCATGGTGACATGGAAAGAAAACCCTGTGATATATAGAGGAAGAGCACAAGAGAGGAGTTGGGGAGAATGGAACTCCTCTGTGTCCTGATTGTGGTGATGGCCACGCATGGCCGTAAATGGGTTGAAATGGACAGAAGGTACACCCCTCTCCCCAGTCAATTTTTACTGTAGGGTAATTTGTTTTTTATTGAGATGGACTCTGTCGCCCAGGCTGGAGTGCAGTGGTGCTATCTTGACTCATTACAACCTCCGCCTCCCGGGTTCAAGCAATTCTCCTGTTTCAGCCTCCTGAGTACCTGGGTTATAGGTGCGCACCACCATGCCCAGCTAATTTTTGTATTTTTAGTAGAGACGAGGTTTCGCCATGTTGGCCAGGCTGGTCTCGAACTCCTGACCTCAAGTGGTCCGCCTGCCTCGGCCTCCCAAAGTGCTGGAATTACAGGCATGAGCCACTACGCCTGGCCTGGGTCATGTAAAAATAAAAATAAAAACAGAAAATAAAGTATAAGAGTGCAATAGGGGCCATGCCTCCCATCTTTTCTAATAAGGGAAATGTGATGAGGATGTAGGTTTCAAGTGAGTAACTTGTTACGTGTAATGCAGGTTACAAAAGGCCCAGCAAATTTATCCTTTTTTATTCCTAGTGGAGTGTTTGGTGCATACTCTGATCTGAGGGTTCATATTGTGAATTTTTTTTTCTTTGTTTTCTTTTCTAATAGCAAATGATGATTTTTTGGAAGCAAGATGTTGCTAACCTTTTTTTAGGTTGGTGTTATACCAGAATATTTTATTTTATAGAATGTTTATTAAATATTAAACGACTGTACAAGACCAGGCACAGCAGCTCATGCCTATAATTCCAGCACTTTGGGAGGCCGAGACAGGAGGAGTACTTGAGACCAGGAGTTTTAGACCAACCTGGGCAACACAGCAAGACCCTGTCTCTAGAAAAAAAAAAAAAAAGAAAACAAAAACCCCACTGTACAATTCTTAGTATATTAGTTTTATTCACTTGCCCACAGAGATCTAGTCAAGTAAACCATAAGGTTAATAAAAGTCCACTTTTGGCCGGGCGCGGTGGCTCAAGCCTGTAATCCCAGCACTTTGGGAGGCCGAGACGGGCGGATCACGAGGTCAGGAGATCGAGACCATCCTAGCTAACACGGTGAAACCCCGTCTCTACTAAAAATACAAAAAACTAGCCGGGCGAGGTGGCGGGCGCCTGTAGTCCCAGCTACTCCGGAGGCTGAGGCAGGAGAATGGCGCAAACCCGGGAGGCGGAGCTTGCAGTGAGCTGAGATCCGGCCACTGCACTCCAGCCCGGGCTACAGAGCAAGACTCCGTCTCAAAAAAAAAAAAAAAAAAAAGTCCACTTTTTAATTTTTTTATTTTGGCTTAACACATATTTTATTTATTGGAAAAGGCATTGACACTTAGCTAAGATTCTTAACCTTGCCATCCATACCTAAGTGTGCTATTTTATTTTTTTATTTTATTTTAGGTGGAGACTTGCTCTGTCACCCAGGCTGCAACCTCTGCCTCTCAGGTTCAAGCGATTCTGATGTCTCAGCCTCCCAAGCAGCTGGGATCACAGGTGTGCACACCACACACAGCTAATGTTGTTGTTGTTTTTTTTTTTTTTTGTATTTTTAGTAGATGGGCTTTCACCATGTTGGCTAAGCTAGTCTTGAATTTGTGACCTCAGGTGATCCGCCTGCCTCAGCCTTGCTAAGCCTAAGTGTGCTATTTTAGAAATCTGGTTGTATAATCTTGGGTAGTTTCTACTTCTAACATTGATGTTGAGCATACCCAGTACTCAGGACCCACTTGGTACAAGTTATTTATTTATTTATAGATGGAGTCTCGCTCTGTCGCCAGGCTGGAGTGCAGTCATGCTATCTCGGCTCACTGCAATCTCTGCCTCCCGGGTTCAAGTGATTCCCCTGCTTCAGTCTCCCGAGTAGCTGAGACTATAGGCGTGCACCACCTCACCCCGCTAATTTTTTGTATTTTAGTAGAACAGGTTTTCACCATGTTAGCCAGGATAGTCTGGATCCCCTGACCTCGTGATCCACCTGCCTCGGCCTCCCAAAGTGCTGGGATTACAGGCGTGAGCCACCGCGCCCGGCCCAGGTTAATATTATTGATCAACTACCTTCCTTAGCCCAGGAACTACGTCTTTTAGTTCATTTGTTATTTCTGTGAATTAGCTTCCCTCCAGACTTGCCACATTTGACTTGTTCTGCTTTCTTTGTTCCTATCTTCTCAAATGAGATGGCCTATATTTCTTATTTTATTTATTTATTTATTTAGAGACAGAGTCTTGCTTTGTTGCCCAGGCTGGAGTGCAATGATGCAATCTCAGTTCACTACAACCTCTGCCTCCTGGGTTCAAGCAATTCTCCTGCGTCAGCCTCCCAAGTAACTGGGATTACAGGCGCCCGCCACCATGCCCAGCTAATTTTTTGTATTTTTAGTAGAGACGAGGTTTTGCCATGTTGGCCAGGTTGGTCTCAAACTCCTGACCTCAAGTGATCCATCTGCCTCGGCCTCCCAAAGTGCTGGGATTACAGGCATGAGCCACTGTGCCCCGCCTGCTTATTTTTATTAAGTTACAAGTTATTCCATCTTCTTTGTCATCATCCTTATCTGGGTGGGTCACAATTCATATTTTGCTCTTGGTAACACACATTTTTTTTTTCTTGGTAGAAATAGGTCTTGTCTTGAACTCCTGACCTCAAGCAATCCTCTTGCCTTGGCCTCCTAAAGTGCTGCAATTACAGGTGTAAGCCACCGTGCGTGCGGTATTTTTAATATGATGTAACAATTCAGAAAAATGTCATCTCCCCTTCTTTCACATATCATGTATAAGTCCTTGCAATCCATTACCGAGATTTACTCTGTATTCCCAATTTTGAGAAATCATAAATGCATCATCTATCTCAAATAGTGAGCTATCTATCTCAAATAGGGGTTTTTTCCTCCAAATGAGTTCTTTTTCAGTGCAGCTTTTATCTTATTAAATTACCTGTCTAAAAGTGACTGCAAAGAAATATAAAGGATCCACTGGTAATTTCTTTTTATTAAAAAAGAATACTTTTTATATTTCCTTTTTAAATAGCTTTCAACCAGAATTGTCTGAGAGAGGCAAAGATATAACCTGTTCATCTAGTACCACCATCACCCACAGAATATGATATGAGTTCTGAGCTTTTCTGATTAGAGACCTCGTACTTTTTCTCTTTTATTTATTTATTAATTTAATTTAATTTATTATTTTTTTTGAGTCAGAGTCTTGCTGTGTCACCCAGGCTGGAGTGCAGTGGCATAATTGCGGCTCACTGCAACCTCTGCCTCCCGGGCTCAAGTGATTCTCATGTCTCAGCCTCCCCAGTAGCTGGGACTACAGGCGTGTACCACCAAGCCCAGCTAAGTTTTTTATTTTTAGTAGAGATGGGGTCTTGCTGTATTGCCGAGGCTAGTCTCAAACTCCTGACCTCAAGTGATCCACCTACCAGGGACTCCCAAAGTGTCAATTGCAGGCATGAGCCACTGTGCCCAGCTGGAATTTGTCTAATATTCTTTTCATGATAGACTGGGCCTAGAGGTTTGGGGAGGATGATCACAGAGGTAAAGTGCCATTCTCATCACATCATGCCAAGGGTACATTGTTAATACTGAGCTTGATCACCTGGCTGAGGGGTACTATAAGTTCTTTTTTTGTTTGTTTTTGGTTTTTGTTTTTTTTGAGACAGGGGGTCTTGCTCTGTTGCCTAAGCTGGAGGGCAATGGCATGATCACAGTTCATTGCATCTTCAGTCTCCTGAACTCAAGCAATCCTTCCACGTCAGCCTCCCCAGGCTGGTCTTGCACTTCTGGCCTCAAGCAATCTTCCCTCCTTGAGGTATGCTGAGCCAGCTTAAGGGTACAACTAGGAAATATCCAAGGCACAGATGCATCTGGCTGCTTTTTCCAAAGAGGTTCGCAGGAAGTTCAGTATTTATACATTTTTCTTAAATCAAGGGGGCGGCAGTGAGGCAAATAGTTGCATACTTGTGACACTTTAGTTAGTGCTCAGTAAATCTACATTTTACATAAGATAAGGTGAACCTTTGAAGAACAGGGACATGAGGCTGGGCACGGTGGCTCACGCCTGTAATCCTAGCACTTTGGGAGGTTGAGGTGGATGGGTCATTTGAAGACAGGAGTTCGAGACCAGCCTGGCCAACATGGTGAAACCCCATCTCTACTAAAAATACAAAAATTAGCCAAGTATGGTGGAAGGTGCCTGTAATCCCAGGTACTTGGGAAGCTGAAGCAGGAGAATCACTTGAACCCAGGAGGCAGAGTTTGCAGTGAGCTGAGATTGCCACCACTGCACTCCAGCCTGGCAACAGAGGAAGACTCCAACTCAAAAAAAAAAAAAAAAAAAAAAGGCGGGGGGGACCTGAAGCTACATGCTTTCTATACTAAAAACCTAACACCGAGCACTGTAGTCTCAGAACAACAACATCTGTCTCTCAGTGGGCTTCCTGTGCCCCTTTGAATACTCTTATGGAAGCAGATTTTGTTTTGTTTTGTTTTTTAGTATCTTCTTACGTTTCTTAACCTATACAGTTTTGTTTATTTGGTTTGTGTACAGATAGGATCGCGCACCTATCACCCAGTCTGTAGTGCAGTAGCATAATCACAGGCTCGACTTGCAAACACGAGCGCTCCAGGCTCAAGTGATCCGCGAGATAGCTGGAGCGGTGCTGCGGAGGCCGACCACCGGGCGCGACGAATATTTTGTTGTTTTAGTTGATAGAGACAGGGCCTGTTTGCCACCTGTACCCTGGCTCAAGACCGCGGCTGTCTACCCCCACTGTCAAACGGATTGGGCAAAGCCAATTCTTGTACCCCGGGCGGTATGCCACGTACCACTTGTTGTAAAGAGACTTCGGCGCTTTGGGTAAGCTCGAAATAAGCTGGTTGTTTTTTTGTCGTTTCTCTTCTTTTGAGAGCAGGAGCCTTGCTCTATTGCCCATGCTGGTTAGTGGCGCAATCTCACACTCACTTGAAACTCTGCCTCCCAGGGTTCAAGTGATTCTGCTGCCTGGCGCTCTCCTGAGTAGCGTGGGATTACAGGCACTCCCGCCACCACCAACCGGTCTATTTTTGTATTTTTAGTAGATATAGGGTTCGACCATTATTGGCCAGGCTC